CATCTCCACATTTGCTGGCAACCAGAGCAGCACTGTCCGAAAAGGCCGGCAGGGCACCATGCCTGCCCGGGAGTTTGCCCTGCACCAGGCCAACTCCGACATGTGCCACCTGCTGCTCATGGCAGAAGAGGGAGTGTAGGAGACAAGAACATACAGGACAGAGCTACCATATCCCTGCCTGCCATGCACCCTGGCTCTCCATGAGCTGGCCAAACCTCTGCCCATCTCTGCCACAACCAGATTGCTGTAAAAACAAAACAAAACAAAAAAAAAGTGAAATGAAAGCACCAAAAGAGGTAGAGGAACTGCTGCAGGGCAGCAAGAGGCACCCCTTGCTTGGAGCCAGGATCTTTTCACCTCTTAGTTTTTTCAACCTGAACTCTTCTCCTTCTGGGCATTGTCTGAAGCTAGAGAAATGCATATAACAAGCCTTGTGATACACAGCCTTCTTTTGCAAATAAGTTTCTGGTAGCCCAAAAAAGCATGCTACAGTCTGATAGTCCGTCCATTTATTAAACATTTGGAATGGAACATCACATCTGCAGCTGCAAGGAGAAAGTTGCCCACAAGGGAGGGAATAACGTCACCACACATTAATGCACAGTTTTGAGGCTGCCAAAGAGTCCAGGAGCATGGAAAATAAATACATTTCTGGAGGAGGTGTGAGTTGGTTTTCTTTCCTTTGTTTGTTTTTTTTATTTATTTTTATTTTTTAAACACAGCCACATAGATATTCATCCCAGAATAATCCTCAGGGAGAGAAAGCACAGCAAGACCAAACACTGCATAACCCGTTGCCAATTATTATACGTTCTTTCTAGTGTAATTGAATGCCTTTGCATCTATTTGCATATGAAGGCAACCCAGCTCTATCATAGCTTAGACCCGCTCCGTTGTTCCTGCCAGGAAGCTGCACTTTGTTGCCAGGGATATGGCCAGTGTCACAGCAGGCAGCAGGGATGAGCCCAGGAGGGGAACTGCTGGGATATAAGTGAGGTCAGATTTGTGACTGATGCACGAAGATACAGAAGGAAAGCAGAGGAATGTGACCCATAAGGCTTAAAGAAAGCTGGACAAAAACCATCAGGAAACTTTAAATGCAGAGAGTCTACCCAACAGCAAACACCGTCTGTAGGATGGACCAGCAGTCTCAGTACTCATCTCAAAGCAGGGAGAAATGTGATAAAGACAGAGCCAAAAAAAATGGGAACAAATAGGGGAAATCAGAAGATGGGGTGGGGGCTGTGGAGCAGGGAGAGGCTCCACGGGAGAGCAGGAAAACAGAGCCATGAGATGTTTCATGACCTTCGGCATATCCATAACAGCTCTGCCTATCCCCCTCAGTATGCTGATCCTCACCAACAGTTCCTGATCTCACACAAGATTTTAGCATGGAAGAGAGAAGAATTAGGTGTTTTGAGATTGCACGGGACAAAGACACAGGAAGAAAACACTGACTCTAGCATAGGTAGCATGCAGAACTTGTCTCAAGTCACAAAAAATTCAGCTGGGCAACCATATGGTTCAAGCTGTGAGTACAGGCTGCCAAAATGTTTGGGAAATTCTCCATCCTGTGAGTATTTGCAATGAATTACTGGTGGTTTAGTCCATCTTATGGGGCAAATGTAGTTTTGGGGCTTAGGTGCAGAGGGCAAGAGATCAAGAAGCTGAAGTGGTCCTTTCTGAAACTGAGGTCTTCCCAAAAAGCCTGGACAAGTACTACAGGCCGTTGGTGCTGGACGACCATCTCTCAATGCAGACATTATTCAATCAGAAATGGAAAAATCAAACCACTGGGGTCACATCACCATCCCATCCCTTTCTTCCTCCTTATGGAAGCCAGCCAATACCAGTAGACCGGCATTTTGCTTGCACATGAGGGGTAAAAACCCACCTATTGAGTGATGGCTTCTGCCTAGAGCCTCTTGTCTTCTTTTTGATCCAAAGTTTACATATTAACAGAGAAGCCTCTGGCCCCTCTTATCATCTGAACAGCAGTTCCCCTTCTCTGCTCCTAAGGGCAGCAGATGAAGATAGGATAGCCTCAAACCCATGTGCTGAAGGCAGTGTTCCAGCAACAAAGAGATACAGCAGCTTCCCTTTCTCTTGATATTTGGGATCTTTTGGTGACAGTTTATGAAAATCACAATTATTTTGAAGTAAATATTGTTCTGCTGTTTTGCATTCTCCTCCCAAGTTGGATTGTTATCAGGCACAAACACAGAACACCTCTCCTGTACTTCAGGGAGGCTCACCAGGGAAAGCAGCACTTCATTCCTTCCTGATAAGAATATGCCTTTGAATTATCTCAGTCCTTCTTTCTATTTGGAAATGTGCTTTTCAGAAAAAAAAAAAAAAAAAAAAAAAAAAAAAAAAAAAAAGGGACTCTGGGATTGTGGCAATGGAGACCCTGGGGTTTAAATTAGCACAGTCTCCTGGGTTTGTCTGCTTCTCCCTGAAGGCACTAACATTATGCACTTAGGTTATGCACAGAAACAAAAGCAATGTGGGTTTTTTTTTGTATTTTCTCTTTGACTTTTAACATTACCATACATAGAAGTGAAGAGCAGTTCCCATAGACACTTCCAGCCAGCACAGCATGACCAATGCCACCCCAAAGCTATGCTTCCAAGAGATCTGCTTTTTAGTTCTGTATTCAGAGAGCCCCAGAGATGCATAGCTAAATACTGCAATGAGGCTGAGATAGGGACACAAGGCTCCTCCTGCTTCTACCAACCCCTGGAGCACCTTTAGAGATGAGAGCAGCCCTACAGAAGGTCTCTACAAGGCAGGGGATGCTGCCTTATTCTCTTCTTCCCATTTCTGCAAAGGTATTGGAGACTATCCAAGACTTGGCTTGAGAACTGAGCTTTCCCTACACCAAGGCTCTGCTGGTTACAGGACAATCTCATACAGAACCAACCTCAAGGACACAGAAAGAATCTGACCTGGGTCTTGCCCTCGGCTCTGAACAGGGGGATCCGGGTGACCGTGAGGAGGCAGCCCCTATCTCCTTGTACTGCTCCAATTGCTGCCAAGCTGCTGATAGCCAATGGCTGAATAGGAAAAGAGGCAGTACTAAGCCTCATCTTCCTCTGAGCCCCACTTGCTCCCTGGGGAAAGGGCAAAAATTGGGAGGGTCAAATTATCACCAGCTCCTCATCAGGATTTGGGCATTTTACATATTTCAGTTCTATTTGCTTGGCTGCTGAGCATCTTCTGGAGCAATTGCCCTCCCAAGAGCGTCCTAAAGCTTTACAATCAGAAATGATGGGTGTCCAGAACATACTCCAGAAATAGGGGAGAGGCACAGCTGGGAAGATCAGAGGGTGCCAGAACCCAAACTTCCCCTATTGCTTGAGGTGCTCCCACTTGACAGCAGCTGCTCAGCTCCCAGGGCCGCAGCAAGAGGCTAAACCTATGGCAACCCCAGGGAGCCCCTAGGAGCAACTTTTCTGCACAGCTCCCCAAGCCTTGTGTGTGGAGCTGCAGATCAGCAGTGACCTCCAGCGGCTGCTGCCAAATCCGACTGAGGTGTCAGGGCAGAATCACGGTGCTGTGCCATACAAGGGCTGGGTGCGTATCTCACTACTGGCACCCAGGTACATAAAGTTTCCTCTTCCTAGCACAGTCCTACTCACTCAACGGGACGATAAAACATTACCTGTGCATCTACTGCAGCTTTCTGTACAGACTAAACTATGGCAAAGACAGCGTGCACTAAACTGAGCAGCATGTGTGTGAGAAGATAGACAATGCACAGGAGATAGGCACTACTTCATAGTTGCACATTTAAAGTGTTGGGGCAGATCTCTTATCATTCACTGCTTTTCAATCCTAGGCAGCTAGTAATAAATAAAAATAAAATAAAAACATATCAGCATTTCCATAGCAAATCCACTCACCAAATCTCCCATGCAGTTCTCAGGCACAGAGCTCTAGGGGAGCAGCAGTGTGGGTGGGGATGCTCATGTACCCACTGCAGCAATCAGTAAGCAAGTGGAAAAGCTGTAAGGTGTAACTGGGCACAGCTGTGCCCACAGGAATGGAGGTGGCATGAAGTTATCCCTGTGGGGACTAATTAGGACTGAATAAAGTAGGTGAGGAGATATTAAGGAGTGGCTTGAGGAGTTATGGCAACAGCAATCACCATCGTGACTTCTAAGGAGCTCCCATAGGAAGAAGCAGGATTTTCAATAAGCAGGGCTTCCAGCATCTTCAACTGCCACACAAGTGCCACTGGTTGCCTTTGCCAATCTGGGTGTGCAGCCATCGTCCCCAGTAAATTATCCAGGCTGGGAGCCACAGAAGTGTCACATTTCAGCCACATCCCATCTGTAGCCATCCCCAATAAACCACAGTGCAGTGAGTGCTCATTCAGAAGAAAACATGCCCTCTTCCTCCAGCCCCTCCTTCTGCTCGCCTTGTCCTTGAGCACTCTTCATTCCCAGCTCCTATCTGTGGCACGCTCCTATAATCAGGTGCTGTCCTTCATGCCTGCTATAAAGGCAAAAGGAGATGCTGTGCGTGCAGGCAGGCTGGCAGCCCCAACCCGTGACATGCTGCAGGCCATCATCAAGCTGTCCTGCGGCATTGCCCACGACCACCTCCGCAAGTTGCCTGGTAAGCACCACTCTCTCCCCACGTCCCTAGAAAAATCATGCAGAAATGAGGATGCTATGCTCTGAAAGTTCCAAAGGAGATGCTAGGGGGAGAGACTAAAGAGATTGAAAAGAAGATACTCAGATGGCCCTGAAGGAGATGCTAAGGGGGTCCTAAAGGAGGGAGTAAAAGATGCTGAGAGGGACTGCAAAGAGATGCTAAGTGAAAATTGTAAAAGCAATGAAGTTTTCAGTAGGGACCTGGTTGGTTCAGCCAATACTGATGCAGCTTGTTTCCAGATCAAATGAGTGCATGCTTTTGCTTTTCATGGCATACATCTTCCTCAGTGGTCACTAGCATGTTTCTCCCCAGGCCTGAAGACAGCAGCCACTGCGGTGATGCAGGAGCTGATAGATCCCCACTGCCTGCATTCCGAAATTCCTTCTTGCATCCAGAGGCTCATGGGGAAGGATGCTGGTGAGCAGCCTGTGCGGCCCTGACCCTTGGACAGTGCATACCTCAGCCCCACTGCAATGAGGGATGGGGAGGGATGAGCCATCAGATGCATTGATTATTAGGGGGGCAGAGCTGCCTTAAGGATGAGAGGTAACGGTCTTAATTTGTGCCAAGGGAAGTTCAGGCTGGATACTAGGGAACATTTATATTCAGAAAGAGTGGTGCTGTACTGATGTCCAGGGAGGTGGTGGAGACATCATCCCTGGAGGTGCTGCAGAGCTGTGGAGATGTGGCACAGAGGAACATGGGCAGTGCGCAGGTGGGAGTGGACTGGGGTTGGGCTGGGTGAGCTGAGAGAACTTTTGCAACCTGAATGATTCTATGATTCTGGTCTCTGGGCTGCTCTACATCACTCCAGTAGCTTGAAGCATCCCTAGCGTTGATGGGGATGCTAAAAGGTGAATGAGCTGTAAAGGCCACCAGAGCATCTAGTGGAGGTGACAGCCACGTACCAGGGTTTGGTTTGATGTCTGTGGCTGCAGACCCCACCAACTCACTTGAAGACCCAAAACATGGTGAACTCACCTGGCATGCACTGCTGTACCCACACCCCATCCCTCCACATGCATGCAAAGCTGGGCAGAGGGGGTGGATTTTTCACACTTCTCTGTGTTTCCACCCGCTCCTGAAGCCAGGTGCATAGAGCCCGAAGCAGACACGCAGCCCTCCAGCACGGACCTGTCCTACATCCACCAGGGAGAAAGGGCCCTGCAGCGAGCGCTGGGCATCCTGCAGCAGCCACACTGCTGGCAGCCAGAGGCCGTGCCGGTAACTGACCTGACCCCGTGCACACCACAAACCCCACACCAAGGCGCGGGGTGCAGCCCTGATGTGGGTGCTGTGCCTGCAGAACGCAGAGGCTGCCATGTCCAGCACCGCGCTGCCGGGGCTGGGCCGCGTCTTTCGGGCCGAGGCGGTGCTGGCAGCGCCTGTGGGCAGGCTGCAGGGTGAGCTGTTTGAGCAGCTGGAGGAGATGCCCCGCTGGAACCCCAGCCTCAGCCGCGTGGAGGTAGGCAGCAGGACCGCCGGTGGGCATGAAGACCCATTGAAATCCCACCGTACTCAATGCGTGTGCTCTGCGGGCCCGCAGGTGCTCTGCCGCCCAGGTGAGGACACGCTGGTGACGCACGAGGTGACGGCTGCCAGCCCAGTGGGACGCAGGGACTTTGTCAGCACGCGGCACCGCAGCAGGACGCGGGCAGCCATCTACCTGGTGGGCACCACTGCCCACCTCGAGCAGCCACCCGCACCACAGGGCTGCGTCAGGTAACACAGGTCACAAAATGGCAGGCTGTGGGGCCTATGGGGAGGAGGTCTCACCTCCAGGCCTGCTATTTTGTGGCGTAACCACCCTGTCCTGCAGGGCTGAGACGCGGCTGAGCTGTATTGTGCTGCAGCCGCTGCCAGGCAACCCAAGCTGCACACGTGTCACGTGGCTGCTCAGCATGGACCTGAAGGTAAGCAGCGCTGTGGCAGTGCCCCTGTGCTGGCCCAGCGCCCATCATCCTTCATGTATTTCTCTCCCCCAGGGCTGGATCCCCACCTCGGTCACCAACCGCGTCCTGCCACAGTGTCAGGCCAAGTTCATCGGGCACCTCCGCCAGCACCTCTCCTCCACTGCCTCTCTCTGTGGATAGGATTTCCCATCCTATGCAACCATAGAACCAAGGCAGGCATCATGCAAAGCACAGACAGAAACCCACCTTTCCTCTCATAGCTCCTTCTGGAGCCATGAAGCATGACTGGAGCCACTCTGGGGGGCTTGGAGCCTATATATCCCAGTGGCTTTGCTTATTTAACGGAAAGATAAAGCCGCTTGCAAAAGCCATGTGAAACCCTGGCTGAAAAATAGGAATTAAATAAAAGACAGAAGTGGCAGCTTACTATGGAAGACCCCTTTCAATCACACGCAGGTCATGTGTTCCCATACCACACTATTCCCACACTCTAAATAAATCAACAGAAAGAGACAGTGATGTGGATTTTTTTCTTTTTCTTTTTTCTTTACATTATGTTAGAGTTCCAAAAAAAAAAAAAAAAAAAAAAAAAAAATTGAACCCAACAAAATTAATAAATATTAAAAGTTAAAAAGCTCTGAATCTGGTATGTACAAAACTTTACACATTGCAGCGCTGACCAAGGAGGCAGGCAGCATGGTATGAGGTGAAGTGGGCATGCTGCATACTGCAGCCTCTGCATGACTGGGAGAATGCCACTGGCACACAGCAGCCCTGCACCAACGCCTCCATGGTAGCAAGGCTGAGGCAGCCCTAAGGCATCAACCTCCTCTGCCATACAGCAATGAACCACCGCAAAAACTAACGCAAGAAAGCCATAATGCCCAGGACAGCATCAAACAGAGGAGTGTAGCTGACAACTTTTTGGAGGTTGGGTGAGTATGCATGCATGCTGCAGCCTGCAGACATTACAATCCTGTACTGACACAGCTGCTGAAGCTGCAGGAGAGATCTGTGCATTCTCCTGCCCTGCTCTGCAGGCTCCTGGGATTGTAAACAGCACCTGCAGTGAAGCATTATCTTTGGCACAATAAATAAATGCTGGCACTCCCAGAGGAGGGCCCTGTGAGGGGCATGAGATGCAGCAGGATATGAGGTGTGCTGGTTGCTGGCTCAGACACGGGGCTCCATTCCATCTCTTAATGCAGCACTCGGGTCATCCTGCCTCAAGACTAGGAGTGATGTGGGACAGGAGCATCTTATCATCCCTTTGGCTCTTTTGGTACCATTTGGTAGCACCAGCAAAGGGTGATGGGGGCTTGCATGCCAACATGAAATGCTCTAGCCTCAAACATCTCCCAGCACCACGTATGTTGTGGATGCAGTGCTCTGCTCATGCACTAATGGCACTGCAGATCACTCATCCCAAAAGCAGCGCATCCTAAAGCCATTGTGCTGCTCATGGGGCATGCCCTATACTCTGGCCACCTCATCAGCAAGCCCTGGACATGCACAGAACCATTGCTGAATTATAGCTGAGTTTGGAAAGTGAATTGGAGATAGTGAAGGACAAAGGAGCAGTTCCCTGCATGTGCTCTTTGTGGGCTTCCTTCTTAGAAAATGAGCACCAAAAACAGAGCCTTCTGTCCACCTACCATCCTGTCCTCAGCCTCCCACTCTGTTCTCCTGACACAAAAGGAAGGTGCCCAACACCTGTACTCCCAGGCAAGGAAAAAATGGATTTGAGGCATCCCCAGAACTGAAGAACACGCTCACTGCTCTAGAGATGCCCATCCTGCCTCTCATGCAGCCAGGAAGGCAACACCATCACTGCCTCAGGTGCACCAAGCCATGCACACCTCACAACATCTGCCTGGCCCTCCTCAGATCTACCTCAGCAGCCCAGAGCCTCATCCCTACCAGCACCCACAGCCCATGGAGGGGCAAAGCATCCTCAGCTGAGGTCCAGCTCCCCTGCAAGCTGCATAGAGCCCTATTCTTCTAAAGTGCTGTGCATGTATCTAGTACTTGGCACAATATTTTTAATGGCGTTAATCCCAACCCTTTTCCCACCATGGGACAAAAGGTGGAGGTGCAAGAAGGCAGCTCTCCAGCATAGCCGTGACCCTAACCCTTTGGTGCTCTTCTTAGAGCTGAGCTCAGCATGATTTGGGGACACGGTGGCATCCCTCCTGGCACTTGGGCTTCCTGGTTTTCCCCATGGATCTCCACACGCCTTGGTGTTCCACAGACACTGGGCATATGGAAGAAGAGGGTCATGGTCCTGGGGATGCCAGAAGTTGGTATTAGTACAAAGCTGGCCAAGGGCATTATTGGCTGAAAAGTCACCACTGGGTGACAGGCATTTTTGAAACCCTGGTTTTGGTCTTTGGCCTTGTCCTTATTGCTCGTGCTATGGTTGGTCCTCTTAAAAGAGGTCACAGAAGAGAGGTTTTGAAGGGAGACCCAAGCTTCCTGAGCAACCTCATGCTCCGACCCAAACCTGGGTCTCTGTGAGCACCATGACAAATGTGCCGGTACCTGGAGGAGGCAGTGGCTGGCCAAAGAGCCAGGGTCCTCCTTCCAATCCTCTCCTATCTTACTGCTTAGAGGGAGAGGAAAAGGCAACCTTAAAGCCCCCAGTTTAGCACCTTGGAAGTTGGTGGCCCATGCCTCATGGGCCCGGGGCTCTGAGCCACACATGGAGGTAAGAACCCTGTCTAGAGCAGCCAAGCTGCTTTTTGCTCCATTTGACCTTTTTTTCCTTTGTGGCACTGCCAAAAAAAAAAATGCCACAGCTGGGAGACGGGAAATGAAAATCACAAGAAAACAGCAGTTTCCCCAGGAATTTTGGAGAGGGCCAGGTCATTTCCAAACCTGGCTGCCCAGGAAAACCACTGCTGGAAGTGGGAGAAAAGGAGAGATGGAGAAGGAGGATGGAGGAGAACGGCTCCAGCTGAGGAGTCATGCGGGGTTACCTGGCTGCCTGCCCCCTCCCCTCACCTTCTGTCCCCACAGATGACTCACTTGGGGCTGGGACCTCCCTGAGAGTTGCAGTGGTGGGGTCAGCACCGGGTGTCCCCTGCACAGAGGAGCTGGGGTCAGTAGGACTGGGGATCCCCACAAAGGTCCCCATGGGGGTGCCGGTGGGTGAGGCAGTGACGGAGGCTTTCTTGCCACAGGACTCGCAGCAGAGCTTGTTGTAGCCAGGGATGGAGCAGTAGCGTGCCAGGACCTCCATCTGGCAGAAGATGGATTTGTCCCCGAGGCAGGGCTCCCCTGGAGAGAAACAAAGCGGAGACAGAGCATCAGTGAGCACATGCGGTCACAGTGGTATTTACCTCCCACAAGGGCACCAGGCACCAGTGCTAACCGTGCTCTTTGCCCTATTGCAGCAATTTTGGCAATGCTTGGATGGAAGAGGTGAAGGAGCTGGAGCATCAAGTCAGTCCCAGGATGGAAGCTGTGGTGGATCCCCAACTCCACGAGGTGGCAACCTGGCGCCAGGCTGTGCACCACAGGAGGCTGGATGAGGTTACATTCACCCCAAACGGGCTGCAGGATACCTCCTTCCCCCTAACACTTGCAGGAAGATGGCAGCAAGCTGAGCTGCAGACACAGGCCATGCAATGTGTGCTTGAGTCACCTGAGATCCACCAGCCTTGCAGCCACCTGCCCTGCCTGGCACAGTGGAGGACGTGCCCCTAGTCTGAGATGAGCAGTGCAGGGATGGGGCTGTATGTTGGGGCACTTACTGGAGGAGATCTTGCTCACAGGGTTCTGGGGCCTCTCCCGGGGCTCCCACTGCCCTCCAGGTGTGACGTGGTCACTAGCATTGGCACTGGCGGTGATGCCAGAGGGCTTCCCTGCAGAGAGAGCACCATGTATGGAGGCACTTGAAATACCTTAAAGGTGTACTTCTGGTGACTTTGTTAGATATTTTCTTAAAAACAAGGTCATTTGGGAAAAGTCTGGTTGGCTACCCAAAAATAATCTAGCTGTTAACTCCGGAGTGCCCACCTCCATTCTCCCCTTGCTCAAGTCGTCACCAATCTGACAGAAAATCTGCAGCCACCTGCAGCGAGCCCATACCACAGGCTGTCCCCACACCCTCTCTCTCACCCAGACAGACAGCCACGTGGCAGCCCCGGACGGCCTCTGGCTTGTCCCCATGGCAGCGCCCTCCGCTCTCCTCACCCCTGCAGACCACCTGCCGCTGCTGCACACCGTCCCCGCAGCTGGCTGAGCACTGCGCCCAGGGAGAGAAACACGGCATGTGGGTGACAGCCAGGCACCCCCATAAGCAGCTCTGAGACGAACTCGCAGCCCCATCCCCACATCACTTACCTGCGACCAGGCACCCGTCCTCCACTGTGCTGGGCAGGGCAGGCGGCTGCAGGGCCGGCGGGTCTCGGGCCGCTCGGCACTGCAGTACTTAGCATGCAGGGTGCGGTTGGTGCCATCCCGCAGGCGCTGCACACACTGCACGGCCCGCACCTGCAGTCCCAGCTTGCCGCAGGACTTGCTGCAGGCACTCCACTCCTCAGCCACCCAGCTGCAAGGGGTTGGGGACAGCGTTAGTGGCGGGGGGGAGGGAGGGAGAGGAGGGCAGGGGAAGGTCCGTGTAGGGCAAATTGCAGCTGAAATTGCACAGCAGGGTGGGATGGGAGCATCCATCCACCACCCATCCAACCGCCCACCCATTCCGAGGGACTCACGTAGGCTGGGAGCACTCCTGCAAGTTGCACCGCCGCCGGATGGGCTTGGGCTTCTTGCTGTTATCACACAGGTTCCTATGCACCATGCGGTTGTCGCTCCTTCGCCGGCAGCCGTACTTGGTGTACTGGATGCCTGGGAAGCAGGGGGTAGCGTCAGGATTCTCCCACTCCCTGTCTTCCTGCAGCCCAACCACGATGGGTCCCCAAAGCTGCAGGGAACCCAAGCACACTGCCATGACTCACTCAGGGGATACTCACAGGGGTGTGAGCAGAGAGAGGCTCAAGGGCTGAGCAGACCCAGGGCTTCCTCCCCCAAACCACCCACGGGCAGGTAGGGTGGACTGGAGGAACTCAGCCACATTTTTGCAGCCAGGAAGAACAAGCAACATGCAGCAAGTGCAGCCAAAGAGCTGCTGCGCTCTGCCAAGTGAATGGTGCTCGCCTGGGAGCAGAGCAGATTGG